TGTTATTTTTGACCATTTGTGTCCTTCCTGTTAGGTATAAGAATTGAAAAATCTTGACGATACTCCTCTAAAGCCATAAAAGTACATTTTGTCCAGAAGCAAGTCATGTCTGACACAATCGAACGCTTTAGAGTAGTCGCAAAATACAGCAGCTGCAACCTCTTTATCATTCAGTTTGAAGTAAAGCTTCTCGAGAAAAGAAAAGATGGCATCATTGGTGCCTTTAGATGATTGAAAACCGTATTGACATTCGCTAATAAAATTATGACGGTTTAAAAAATCAACGATCCTGTCCTTAACAATTTTTTCGATTATCTTAGACAGCGTATTTAAAAGGGAAATCGGTCTGAAATTGGCTGGGTCAGTATGGGAACCTGCCTTATGTAGTGGGATTACCAAAGCCAATTTTAGAAAATCAGGAAATTCTCCAAATAAAAAACATTTGTTTATAGTTAGAGCTAACACATGCAAAACATTGTCATCAAGATTTTGAAATATTTTGACTGGGATTTCATCGATTCCCGCAGAGTTCTTGTTTTTAATATCTGTTATTATAGCTTTTATTTCATACGCATTTGTTTCAGTCAGTAGAAATGGTTCGCCGATATACGCTTGGTGATTAAGATAAGATAGGGGATTTGCTAGGGGTTCCAAATTATCTGAGAGTCTTTTTGCAACTGTACAATAAAATTGATTAAAAGCGTTTACTTCTATTTCAGCAGGTTGCTTGGCAAGGCTGTTTTTTCCCTTAAGCTCGTTCACAATTGCCCATGCTTCTTTTGCGGTATTTTTAGCGTTATTCATCCTATTTTGATAGTGCCAGCGTTTAGCTGTTTTGATCACTTGTCTGTAGATTCGTTTATAATTTTTTAAGTAGTTGTCAAAAGAAGGGGTTTTTGTAAAAAATTTTATATAATTAAGTGATTTTAAATTCTTAGAAGCAAGTTTTATGCCCTTTGTTAGCCATGACTTTTTGTGATTTTTTGCTCTTAACTTGCGTAACGCAAAGCACCTGTCAAAAGTATCATACAACAGATAGTGAAATCTTTCGAGTGGATTTTCAGATTCAGATATGCATCCCCAATCAACGGAAGAACAATTAGTTCGAAATGTTTCAAAATTCGCCCCTGAAAAGATTCTTCCATATTTAGATGGTATTTTTATACAGTCCCGAAACAGGCTGAAGCTGGCCAGCAATGCCTCGTGATCGGAGAGGTTTGGAGTAGCGATTACATTACAGTTAACTTTATCTTGATTTATATTTGTGCAGAAGTAATCAATCAAAGATGCAGATTCTCCAGTTATTCTGGTTGGGGAATTGACAAACATGGTTAATCCGTAGGAATTCAATAAATTTTTTAGATCCAATGTAGTTGCGGAATCATTGTTCAAAAAGTTTATATTTAGGTCACCACAGATAATTATTTTTGACTGTGATGGTAGGTTAAGAAGTATGGTTTCTAGATTTATTAAAAAATTTGATGCATTCGCACTAGGCGGCCTTTAAATGCATATGATATACAACTTATTTTTTCTGTTGAATCCTATTGAAAACTCGAATTCTTTCTCAATGCATAAAAAATCAAATTTATTCACAGCTTCTAATGCAAAAGTTGAAAAGAACGACTTCTCAATCAAAATCATTGCACCTCCATAACCATCAGAGGTCTCCCTGCAACATTTTGACACAACGAGATAATCTGGTAAATTAAATGGTTCCCAAACTCTCAGCCAATGTTCTGTAAATAATACTAAATCTGGCTTATTAAAACCTTCCAAAAATACCTCAAGTTCACCTATCTTATTACGAACAGATTGTATATTCAAGGACAAAATTGAAATTGGGTTTGATGTCATTTTATTAGAGTTTCTGAGAGAGGGGGTTCTAAAAAAGTTATATTGGAAACATTATGGTCAATGCCTAGTTCTAAATGTTTGTCAATTCTCAATTCTAAGTTTTTGTCAATTCCTAATTCTAAATTCTTGTCAGTGGTTAATTTCAATGTATCAATACTTAATTCTAAATCGTTAACAGCATTGTCCACACATAAGTCAATTGCTTTGAAACAACAACAAGGAGATAAGTCATTAAATTTGGCCACCATAGAATTAATAAATGAAGCCATTTTAGTGAGACCCTTTTTATTAAGAAAAATGCCTCGAGAGTAATCCGAGTACCTGAATTTATGATAAAGATCAAGATAGTTTATATTAGTACATAATCTTCTCAAGTTTGTAATAGAACTTATGATCTTATTGTTTATAATTTCAATGTTTTTGTAAGGGATGCTGCAATCATACTTAGCAGGTATTGTGCAAACTATCAGGTTCGTGTAGTGTAAAAGCACAAGTTTGTAAGCAATGAGATATCTCTTAACCTAATGTCATTGTTATTTAACCCGGCCAATACTATCACAAAAGCAGATGTTGTCATTTTGGAGATTGAAGAGTTTTGACCATTTATAACATCTATAAAAGTAGCGTTCGGTTTGCATATAACTTGCAGTTCAAATTTGCCTAAGAGAAGTTTCTCTAGATGGGGGAATAAATATTTACCGTACTCATCGGTGAGAACAAGAATTTTGTGTTTTTTTTGATGGGTGGAAACATTTTCGCCTGTGAAGTCTATGTCTGCGTTTTGTGTGTCCATCATGTCATTGCTGGTATAGCCTCTGAATTTGCTATCCTTGTTAATCCCTTCATAATTATTGTCCTGCCTAACTTTGCTTCTGGTGTTGTTGCTGTCTATCCCATTGCCATTCTTGTGCTTTTGTTTGCTGTACTCCGTGTTTTTAATTTTTATGGTAAGTTCTGCTAGCTTTCTATCATAATCGTTCTTGACTTGTTCTAATTCTCGCTCATACCGTTTGTTCTCATCCTCAAAAATTTTTATCGTAGTTAACATCTCATTACCAACTTTGCTCATCTGATCTAGTTCATCCTTCATTCTTATTATATTCTGGTCCCTATCCTGAAGAATACTCGAATATTCCTGTACAGCTATTTCTGCCTTGCTTAATTTAATTTTTAACTCTTCCATTTCAAGCTGATGCTTAGAATAATTATTAGGTTCTGATATTTCTGTTTCCGTTATATTGTCAATAGACTTTTTTGGCAAGTATTTATTGAGTGATTTCAATTTTTGTTGTAGGCCTTGGTTGGCAGTTTCGAGTGTTTTGATTTCATTCAGGTAGCTATGCTCAGTTCTTTCAGCTTCATCGCATAAGGTCATTGAACTTCTCTTTAGTCGGGCAATGTGCTGGTCTTTCTCTAAGTTATCCTTTTTTAAGGTTTTGATCAGAGAATGCAACTCATCCATAACTGTATTGTCCATGTTTAACTCCTCCGCATTTGCTTGTTCAATGCACTCGCGGGAACACCAAATCAAATTATCAAGAATTACTTTATATCCCTTGCGTCTTTCCCAGCAGCTTCTATGGACTATATTTTTGCAGACCATGCAAAACCAATTGCTGTGGTCTTTTCCTTTGCAGCATTTAAAACTCGAAGCCATGTTGAAGAATTAAAATATTTCTTTATTTGTTTATTTTAAGTATCACTCAGACAAAACAGCATTGGAATCTTATTATTGTTTACATCAATCACAAAAAGAAATATAAACATTTATAAAGATGTTTATATTAGGCTGGCCTGTTGAGATAAGAATTCATAGACGAATTCATTAACTATGCTTGTTTTTTCGTGATTTCTCTACATACTTGAGTCTTTTTGGAACATCCAATTTGCGTAATAGATAGATCACAATAACACGAACAGTTTAACATAGAACACAACTATACTGTCCTTTGAGAAAACAATTTAAATCACAAATATATTAGGAACGATTACTACGATACGGTGTCGGCGGCAGCTATTCGTTAGGTACATATGAAAATTTAATTTGACCATGAACTAAATTTGACATAGGGCCAAATCATATTTGCTTTTTGACTTCTTAGGAATAATTTATTGTAGATAAAGCAGATTGAGCCGACTCAGTCCTCAATGTCACTCGGTACGTCGCTTCCTGAATTGATGGACATTAGAATCCAATAATAATTATTTTTTCACTCTATAAAGTTTGAGTGGTTTATATAAGAACAATATTAATTATTTTTTTTTACTTTTTCAAGAATTAGAGACGCAGACTGGACACTTCTATACTTGACACTATTGCTTCTGTAGCAACGAAAAACGAAATACTTAACAAATAAACATCTCTGAACTCACCTGACGCTTGACAATTAGACATAAACATTCGAAGTATGTTTTTTAAATTTTTAACTTGAATTAAACAAAATCACATGGTCAAAATTAGAAAAAATATTATGTGAAACACGTTGGGAAACACTATTTTTCGTAACTTTCTTCCGCAGAAATCAGTTCGTTACGAAAAATAGTGCTTTTCCCAACTGGTTGCTAAAATAACTATTTCCAAACTCTTCCAGATTTTTTGAGTGAGAGGATCAACATTTCAAATATGGAAGCTTAAAAATAGTACATTGTGTATCAAGGGCGGAAAAGAGACGATTTCGACGAGTGTGAAGTTGAGGGCCGATATCGCACGAGTCGAAATCACTTTCCGACCGTGGTGCACACAGTACTTTTTGAGCAACTTTTCTGGTAACATTTTAAATAAATATTATTTATATTAAATTCAAAAAACTGACTGAAAATCAACACCCTGTCAAATTGTCAAAGTCAAATTGACAGCATTCCCGCCCGGCTAGGCGGGCGGAAATGTTCTTGTTTGCCCGTCTGTGAACTGCGCATGCGTGACAGTCAGCGGGCTGGAATTGTCAACGTTCTGCCCGCTTCACATGCTTCAAAAAGTCCCGTTATTGAGCAGGTTGCGCAAAAAATCATATTCATATGAATCGAATTAAAAAACCATGATTCAATTAGTCACATGTGCGTTGTATCAACTAATACCCATAATAATTCATTGAAAACATTAACCATTCGGCTCATCACTAATCCAAGCTTTTCTCAAATTACAGCAATAATGGCAAGATGGTTCCACTCGATGGTACTTATCTTCATAATCCAGACCACCAACTTGGAAACCAACAAAAACACTTGCCAGACCCATTTCAGCGTGCTGAACTGGCCGCAGCTGACTTGCACCAACGTCAACAGCGAATATTTCCAGCATTTTACGTCTTCCTTGAACAGAACCCATTGGATCAAGTGTCTGAATTGCACTCTAAATGTAATCGATGAGAGAACTTTTGGGTTTACGAGAAATAACGTTAGTTTTTTAGAGTTGCAGCACTGTCAAGTTGAGGCTGTGAAAAAATTTGGTTTCAAAATTTTCTTTTTGCTGAAGTTACTTAATTTACGATCTAATTGTATTAATTATTTGGAACCCAAATGTTTTTCAAACTTGAAACGTTTATTGCATTTAGATTTAAGCGTAAATTATTTAAACATTTTAACTAACAACCTATTTTCTGATTTAGTTAATTTGGATATATTGAATTTAAACAAAAACGAAATATTTTATATTCAGCCTTATGCATTTAGTGGATTAATTAATCTCAAATATTTATATTTGAGTCATAATCGTTTAAGAAAAATCGAGGATAGGATGTTTAAGGATTTACAAAACCTGAAAATATTATATCTTGAACATAACGATATATTCGAATTGCACCAACACGCTTTCGTAAACCTAAAAAATTTGCATTACTTGTATTTAAACAATAACAGTATTAATTATTTAGTACAATATAATTTTAAACCGTTGAATAATTTAGTAGATTTACAACTAAGATTAAATAATTTAAGCGAAATTCAAGTCAGTTCCTTTAACGGCCTAAAAAATCTTAAATTTTTGTATTTGGGACAAAATCAAATACATACAATTAAACCCTATGGATTTATAGGCTTAGATTCTTTAATTATTTTAGATTTAGGCTACAACAATTTCACTGAAATTGAATTAAATTATTTCCAAATTAAAAACCTACATATATTATGGCTCCATAGTAATTTTATTAAAAATATAATTATTGTAAATAATAATAACGCCGAAGTACAAAATGCTTTAGAAGTATTAGACTTAAGTTATAATCAGTTGAGCGAATTCAATTTTAAACTATTGAGTAGCAAAATGCCAAATATAAAAGAAATTGTTCTTGTAAATAATTCTTTTAGCTGTGATTTTTTTACAAACATGTATAGTTACTATGAAGCGAACAATGTTTTAGTTTGCGCAACTCAAAGTTGTAATTCCAACAGTACCGAGGCCTATATTGATTCTTTATGCTTCAAAACCACAACAACTGATGATACTTTAACGAATGTAACTGATGATTTTATATCAATTAATTGCGCTTCTAATTTTAAACTTTATATCTGTTTCCGTATCGCTTTGTTTCTAATATTATTTTATTGTTAACTTGTTTTTGAATTTTAGCTTTACTTTTTTTTAATTTATTTTATTATATTTTCTACCTCATTATTTATTTTTGGTTTTTGTTTGCGCGTGATGAATAAAATTAGCATTTTATTGCAGGATATTTGTTTTTGGTTTTTATTTAGTCCTGTTATTCTACATTAGTTAAGGTGCAAGTGGTGATTATCTTCTTTTGTATCGGTCTTATCCGTTCCCATCATCCTGGATGCACGCGGAATAGTTTAATGGAAATCACGCCAAACCCCTTCCATAAGTTGGCAAGCCATGAGATTCTTCCTTCTTGCTTCTACCTTACCTTGCAGGAACATACAATATTTGACAGGGTTTCTCATGACATGTCCCAAATACTCAAGTTTACGTTGTTTTATGGTATCCATGAGAGCTAGTTGGCAGTTAATTCTTATGGTGACTTGGTCAAGCCAAGAAATTCCTAGGATTCTTCGTAAATGCAAAGTCAAAGTTCATGATCCTTTTTTCTGTTGCTTCAGACAACGTCGCCAAGCTTCGACAGCATGCAATATTACTGAAAAAATATAGCATTTTGTCATTTTCTTCTTGAGGGCCATGCTGAGATCTCGACAGCAAAGAAAGTGCTTCGTTTGTGTAAACATTAAATTGTTCTGAAATTTTTTATTCTACACGTTATTTTTCTGTAGTGATCCCACGATTCATTAATGTTACAACCAAGGTAAGTAAAACTGCCACTCTCTGGAAAACTTCCTTTTGACAGTACAGCACACCGTGTTTACTTATAACTGTTATAACGTGTTATAACCATGTATCTGTATCTGTGAGCTTGGGAGGGTTCTTTATTATGCGGTGTTGATTGTTTCAAGTAAGTTTGCATAATATGATAATGACGCGTAGTAACAAGTTAGTGTTGGCGGTACCTGGACCAAATACTTCTCAGACAGTAGACTGGCAAGTTTGCTGTTTATGCCAAAGAACGGGCGTGTTCGCTTGTCCTGCAAATAATGTTATGGCACCTCGGAAAAATAAGGAGGTATATCATGTCTCTTTATCATCTAATTTAGAACTATTAACCCCCCATTAGGCGCGCGAGTTTTTATAACATCATTAGTCGCGCTGTATCACAGAAATACATGTACTAAAAATGTCAGAAGTACGACTTCCACAGCCCTTATCGTTTGAAGGTAATGTGGGTGGCAGAAAATGTTCGCAAGTTTAAACAGTCCTTTGAAATATATTTGCTTGCTAGTGGCAAAAATAAGAAAGAAGATAAGGTGAAAATAGCTTTGTTGCTCAATCTTATGGAAGAAGAAGGCCTGGAGGTGTAAAATACTTTAAAATTGATTAAAGCTGATAAAGATGACTTTGAAAAATTATTGTGGGAGTTTGAGAAATACATGACCCCTAAAAAGAATGTTGTGTATGGAAGGTTCTTATTCTATAATCGGAAGCAGGACGAGGCTGAATCGTTTGACCATTCTTTAACAGAGCTAAAGAAACTTTATAAGAATTGTATTTGGTACAGGGGTGTTCCACAATGAGACAAAAATTGCGCTTCGGTAAATTGAATTTTGTAATTTCGATGTTGCATGCTCATAGATGAATATATTTCTTATAATTTAACGCAATTAGATTATTATATCCATTCAAAAAATATATATGGCAATTTTTTCAAAACGTGATTTTTGTCTCATTGTAGAACAAGTATGTTCCACAGTGAGACAAGTTCTTTTACACCATAGAACACTACAAAAAATATTGTGAAAAAACATTTATAAGAGAAAAATAACCATTTTTTTAAAGAAACAGTAGAGCAACTCGAAATATTAGTCTGACAGATCAAAAATATAATAAATCTCTTCAAAATATGAACGTACATTTAATGAGGTTGAATTTACTTCAAAAAGTATTAGAGATCGTTGCCTCTTAATTTTCCCAGTCATTTAAAATATTTGGAAAGTATTAGCATGATGTTTTTTGCTTCGACCATACTTATATCTTATGTTACGGGGTAGAAAAAGCAGTTGTCAGATCGTCTTATTGTGGAACAAAACGTCTCATTGTGGAACTTTTTCCATATTTTTTCAAGAAATTGGCAAAAATGTATCTATTGTTTATACAGAATCCCAACCCAGATATGCCTAAACAATTCCGAAATTTCAGATTTATCAAAAAGTCACCGGATTTTATTTAATCGGCAATTGAAATATCGACTATAAAAAAAAATACCCCAATTTGAGCTATGGTAGTCACTAAATAAGCTTAACGAAAATTTAGCTTTGGAAAAGGCCATTGACAAGTGTCGAGCTAATGAGCTGGCAAAAGCTCAGCTGAAAGATGTTCAAAATCAAGAGGAGAAGGTAGAGACGATTAGTAGTCAAAGAATTGTGAAAGAGGAGATGGTAGAGGTAGACCTAGTGCTGGAGCCACTGGAGGCCGAAGTGATCAAAAGCAGAACTCGTTCGATTGTGGAAGCTGTGGTTTTAAACATGGTCCCAGAAAGTGTCCTGCTTTTGGCAAGAAATGTAATAGGTGTAAAAAATTTGGACATTTTGAAAAGATGCGTCGTAGTCGATATGCTGTGAGAGAAGTTGTTGAAAAAGAAGAAAGGTCAGAAGAGATGAGAAAGAAAAAAAGGATGAAGAGTACCTACTTGGTGACAATGATAATGGTAAATGAAATCACGGATAGAAATGAATGGACGAAAAAAGAGATAGAAGATAGCCAGAATGTTGTTTTTAAGATTGATACAGGATCACAGGTAAACTTTATTCCTTTGAATGTTTTACAAAAAATTTAAAATATAGGTAAGGTTCGTTTCACCAGGGTTCATACTTGACCTTGAAACTTGAAAAAAAAAAGGGTTGCCGTAGATTAATTCATATGACACATTCAATTTTTTTGACAAATTAAAATGAATGACTTCTCTTTTGAGAACCGACGAACGTCATTGATTTGTTTCAGTCAATTTTTATTTGTTAAACAAGGAAGGCAAATGCTGGTGGCAAGTACAAACCCTGGCGAAACAAACTTTACCTACAGTTTTCTCTCTGTAAATCAAAAATAGTTTTCGAAACATATGGTGGGTTCAAAATTTTACCTTAAGGGGTAGTTGATTTGGATTGTAAATATAATGATAATAATTTTAACCTCAAAATTTGTAATTGTCAAAGAAAAATCCATGCCTATTCTTGGATTTAAATTTTGTATGGATTTAAATATTCTTGCAAAAGTAAATATGTTTGATTTGAATAAAAGTTTTCGTAAAAAACAACATGGATGTATTCGATAGTCTAGGCAAATTTCAAAATAGCTATTTATACAATAAGTTGCGAAATGAGCGTCTTTTAGGCACGCGACGTGAAAATTGTCCAACGAGGCAAAGCCGAGTTGGACAACACGTCGAGTGACTAAAAGACTTCGTTTCGTAACGTATTGTATACAAGATTTTTTCTACTGGCGTTTCATAATAAAAAAACACAATTTTATTTCAATGTTTGTCACCTGTTTTTGCTTGACACCTTTCAGGGTGGTGACTAATATTCATAATAAATACAGAACAAAATTCAAATCTGTGTTTAATGTGTTTTTTATTTCTGAACAATGAATGACACTTTTAGGCACTAGTGCTTAAAAGTCACTTTTACGCACTTGAAAGTTACTTTTACGCACTTAAAAGTCACTTTTACGCACTGAGTGCCTAAAAGTCACTTTTACGCACTGAGTGCTTAAAAGAATGTCGTTTCAAAACTAAAATGACAATCGAAAAGTTGCTATTATGAAACGTCAGTAGAAAAAATATGTTAACTGAAATTAAACTTTAAAGAATGGTTCTGAACCCATTGCTAGGCCACCTAGGAGGATCCCTTTGTCACTTAAAGATCGGTTAAAAAAAAACATTTGAATGATTTGGTTCATCGTGGAAAAATTGCAAGGTGCGAAGGTCCCACGACTCCTCACATGGCTCAGTAACTTAGTCATAGTAGAAAAAAAAGGTAAATCTCTTAGGCTTTGTCTAGACCCCAAGGATCTTAATTTTTCTTTACAAAGAGAGTTTTGTTTAATATAAACATAAGCTGGTATAAGTGCTAAATTAAAAAATAAATCATATTTTACTGTTTTGGATTTCAAAGAGGGGTTTTACCAAGTTGAGCTTGATGAGTATTCAAGTAAGCTTTGCTCTTTTGGAACTCCTTTTGGAGATTATAGATTTTTACGCTTGCCGTTTGGGCTTAATTGTGCCCCAGAGTTTTTTCAACAAATTAATAATGACAATTTTGGCGACATTCCTGGAGTAATAGTTTACTTTGACGACTTACTTATAGCAGCTGATAGTTTGGAACTTCATGATAAAATTTTGAGTAAAGTTCTAGAGAGAGCTAGAAATGTTGGTGTTAAATTTAATAAAAATAAAATTCAATACAGAGTATAAGAAGTTGTATATTTAGGTAACATATTTGACAAATATGGTATGCGACCAGATGAGGAAAAAAATTACAGGCAATTTTGTTGGTTGATGAGCCCAAAAACAAAAAAGAATTACAATGTATGTTGGGTATGATTAATTATCTTAGAAATTACATACCTACCAAATTTGTCAGATATCTCAAATCCATTGCGCGGTTTACATTATTAAAAAAATCTATATTTTGGCAGACTTTCAAAAAGTTGAAATAAGAAGATTAAAAGACATGTGCATGACACGTTGGCCTACAGATATAACAAAAGTTCCTGATTTGCTTTAAAAATATTATAATCTTATAAATGTGATTTACTTCCTTGATAATCTGATTTTTTATGGTGAACGAACGTATAATAATACCAAAATCTTTAAGACCAAAGATTTTGGCACAACTGCATGAAAACCATTATGGAATAACAAAAACACAGCAAAGAGCCAAAACAATATTGTTCTGGCCAAATATCAATACAGATACTAAAACATTTATACAGAAGTGTGTTAGCTGTGAAGGGCTGCAAAAAAATAATACAAAGGAGCCTTTGATCTTAAGAGATTTGCCTGACTTACCATTTAAAAGATTAGCAAGTGATATCATGGATTTTGCTGTTCAAACCTAGACTATTTGTCAAAATGGTTAGAGGTGATTCATTTAGAAAATAAAAATTCTAGTCTGTAATTAAAGCTTTTAAATCTGTTTCCTGCACATATGGTAGACCACTAGAGGTTGTTGCAGATAATATGCCATTCAGTTCGTTTGAGTGTAGGGAGTTTGCAAAAGACTGGAACTTCAATTTCATTACGTCAAGTCCTTACTATCCGAGCTCTAATGGGCTTGCAGAAAGGGCAGTCCAAATAGTGAAGATAATGCTCCGAAAGTGTCTAGAAAGTCTAGAAATTGCTTTGTTGTAGTATAGAAATACCCCAATTTCTGGATCTAACCAGCCCAATTTTTGAATAACAGGTGCATGAGATCAAAATTGCCCATTAAAGATAGCTTTTTAATGCCAGAAAAAACAGATTACGAGAAAGAGAAGGAAAAGATGGAAAATAAAAGGCAATTATATAAATATTATTATGACAGAACCACAGCCAGAAGAGATGATTTTCAAGCAGGAGACAACGTAGTGGTGAAAGAAAAAAAGCAATGAACTCCCGCCAAAGTTGTAAAAAAGCTGCAAGAACCTAGGTCCTATATTGTGGAAAAAGGAAATGGTAATAAAGTACGGCAAAACAGTTTTCATTTAAGACACTCCCTAAATTAACTTATGATAAGACCTAATGGTGTACCAGAAGATCGACCTATGACCAATTTGTAAGGAAACTTTAAATTATAGCTCCGAAACCTTGCCTCATGTTACACCGATACATATACAGACAAAAACCAAACAGCTTGTGAAAGTACCTTTGCACTTCAAAGATTTTGAAGTGTACTGATTGGTTTAACGTTTTATTATTATCAGACAGTTTACCTTTTATCATTAGACAGTAGTTTATTTTTTATTATTAGACAGTAGTTTACCCAAGTAGGTTTTGATTATTTTGTATGCAATGTTTTAGGTTTTGGAGTAGTTTGTAATGTGGTGTAGGTAATGTTTGTGCTATTCTTAATTTGGTTTGGGTACGCATTGGTTAGCTTAGTGTTTAGTTGGTAAAGCTACTTTGTTAATAATAATAAGTATTGCCATATGTAGCCAACGAACACTACCTGCCTAGTAGGAACCTAACAATAGACACAATGAAAAAAAGCCACAAGTTAATTGATAATTGAATGTCACAGAATAATCAACGAGGTATAGTTCTTGGCTAATAGTGGTCTGCTCGGCATTATAGCCCCAGGCCCATGGGTGAGCACAGGCCTGGTGATAGCTTCAGAGATACACATGTCTACCTTGGGGGAGAACTCCCAGATATTACCGATGATACGTCTACACTGTTCATAGGCGATATACAGGGTGTATCAGGTTTGTCTACAAAAATTTTAACACGTGAAAATATGGCCCATTTTGAACAAAAAAAGCTTTTACAACATATGGTCCAAACTCAACCATTTTTAAGAAAAAGGCCTTTGAAGTTTTGACATTTTTTGACAAATATTTTAAAGATAAAGAAAATTTTAATCATTATGCGATGTAAAAAAATTTAGTTAATTCAATTATTAAGTAATTATGCATTATTAATCAACAACAATAACAAAAAATGGAAAAAACAACATAAAAATTTCACCTGAAATCGGTATCTAAACATCTGGCAACATAGCACAATGAAGAATAGGTGGTTGACGTTGAACCTTGGTTGAACTGAATTAAATTGATTCTTGATTTGTCGTGTCTAGCTGGGAAACCCGCGTAATTCAAATTCCTTTTTTCTTTCAAATAAAATGTTAATAAACGTTGAATATGCAGATACTTGTTTGGGCAGAATCGTTACAAAATGTTCATTTAGCTGCCAAAATTTACAGGGACACTAGGGAAAGATTTCCCAAAAGAAATGCACTCACCTGATGGAAGAACAAGTGCCCGTGTTACAAAGGTTGCGTGATACAAGAAGTGTGAGTTCTGAGTGTGCAAAATCTGCGTGTTGATTTTAGTGTTATGAGAACCTTTTAACAAAAATTAATATTTTCATAATAAGGATTTGACAAGTAGCTAAGTATTATTTGATTTTTCTCTTGAATGTTTGGTGCAAAAATGTCATTGAATGCAATTCATAGCTTAATAAAACGGCACATTTTTTATTTCTACTAGAAAAGTGATATAAATGCAAGTTATTATTTATATTATTTGAAAACCAATAACAAACCAAAATGTAAACAGATGGAAATAAATTAACTCCGTGCAAAAAAAAAAAACTTTAATTATATGGCCATCTCCGATGATTCATGATAATTGTAATAACAATTAGTCATAGTCTAGCTCAGCATTTATTCTTTCATATAAATTCGAGCAGAGCAATAATAGTTTAGTTCTTTAGTTCGCTTCACTGGGTTCACACGTTATTTATTAAGTAATAAAGCTTTGTAAAAACATAAGTTGCTTAATTTAAAACATAACTCTTTAAATTCACTAGTTTTGTTAACATGTTTCTAAATTTAAATTCTGCGATAACTCCGAAAATATTAACAATTGACACATGATTAATAGGACAGTTTTAGCTTGAAATGGGCCATATTATCTCATGATAAAATATTTGAACTCATACCTGATACACCCTGTATACTTTGTGTATTCTCTTAGTGTTATGGGAGTTCCAAGTTAGTTTGCAATCGAGTGTCACTTCCAGATATTGACATCGGCAGCAAAGCTTAGTTCGGTATAGGTATTTAAGAGCCTGGGGTGCTGGCGGAAGTACGAGTTTCCTCTATAGGACTATTACAGTCTTTTTGGGGGTGATGGACATCAGAGTGTATTCCGTGCAGCATGTTTCTATATTTCGAAGAGCATGCGCAGAGCGAGTTCTCAGATTTAACTCTTTGCAAGATGACTACGTCATCTGCGTGAGCTATTGTTTATTGGTTGTCATTGCTTAGGCGGACAATGAGGCTGTCCAGAACCATGTTCCACAGAAAGGGGTGATAGCCCGCTCCTTGCAGGCAGCCTCATGTGACCATTCCTTTAATGCTGATATCCTGCCAACTTATCTGTACGATTCTTTTGGGACGCATAATATGTTTCCGGTAACAGTTTCCGGAGTATTCCTTTCTGTTGCGAGTGGTTAATTTTTTGATAGGTGGTTTTGTCAAAAGCCCCTTCAATGTCGATGAATACCCCTCGGGTGGACTCTCTATTGTCTTGCGATTTTTTTACTCGCCTAGCAACCAAGTAGAGGACTGTGTTTGTTGATCTCCCAGGGGGCCCTGTACATCCCTAACAGGTGCGGCAAGTGTAGCTCCAAGCCTCACTGATGTAGAGCTGGATAAATGCCGACAGGTCCTGGTGATTTGAAGGCGGAGAAGCCTGAAATTGCCCAATATTTATTTCCTTGTGTATTGTGTGATTTGCTAGTTGCCAATCAACCACAGAGGGTATATTACCTGTGCGTTGCAAGTAATAACTCTCTGCTTTCTTGAAGGTTGGCAGTGAAGGTGCAATCCTCCTTGTACGGGGTACCAATTTCCCGAAAAGGGTCTTTGTTAAGAGCTATTATAAAGTCATACAAAGACTTACCTCTTGGTATTATGTCCTGACTTTGCCAGTTGATAGTTGATGTGGTGTGAATTGGAGTCACAGCCAATCAACATCTCCAGATCCTGATGAGTCTGGCAGTGCCTGACCAATCCTATCAAATCCCTGTTGGGTAGTAGCGTCTCGGCATCTGTGTGGAGATATGCTGGGGTGAAGCCAGGACGGTGACTTTCTTTTGCCTACTGTTGTTCTGCATCAGTTTGGCGGCAGTTATATCTGACGTAAATAGCTGCGTCAGTGAGTGGGCTATGTATGACCTGGGAAGATAGATGGCCGTCCTAGACTGGTTATTACTGGGTGTGGTAAAAAATCTATCAGTTAGTATACTTAAACCTATGATTTTATTTTGTTTTATCAAAGGTTCTTGGATGGGTACTATTGTGTCCTGCGCCACATCCAGGTAGCGACATAAGGTTGCCGAAGCCGCCCTGCTTTGTTGCAGGTTACACTGAATGAATAACAATTTATTTGGTCTTCCTAATATTCAACCCGTTTTGTTCATTTGTGTGTGTAACTCGGTTGGCAAGATCTTGTAGCCGTTCTAAGCTGTCAGCTAGCAGTACAGTGTCATCGGCATATCTGATGTTATCAATTAACTCACCATTTATCTTAACCTCATTGGTGATATCGTCTAGTGCCTTGCTTAATATTTTCTCCGAGTAGAGGTTAAACAACAAGGGTGATAGAATACAACCCTATCGGTCTCCACTTTTGATTTCCAAGACCTCCCAGGTCCCACTCGTTGTTTTCCAAATTTAGGATTAGTTTCTGATTCCAATACAGATTGATAATGATCCTTATGTCCTTTCCATCTAAACCCATTTGTAGAATGTTTACCATTGTTTCGTGTTGACAACGATCGAAAGCTTTACCATAGTCTATAAAGCACATGTGAACGTCGTAATTCATATCCCTACAGCGCTGTACAAGAACTTGTATGGTAAACAATGCCTCTCGAGTATACCGATGCCGTTGCCTAATCCGAACTGTGACTCATCCATATATTCTTCGGATTTGTTATATAGGCAGGCATGAATAACCTTAAGAAAGATTTTTGACATATGTGACATGAGACTGATGGTGCGGTAGTCACCACAAGATTTGGGGTTGGTTTTCTTCGGTATGTGATAAATGTTGAAACCAGCCAGTCACATGGAATCTTGCCACTCTCCTCTCATATATTTGATTAAATAGTGACGTCAAGGTGGTAATACATTGCTGATCTATAAATCTTGAGCACTTCTGCTGATTTATGGTTGGGACCAGGAGATTTTCTGTTTTTAGTAATTTCAATGGCATGTCGTTAACGCTGATCATTCTTGAAAAGTTCAGGTATGTATTTCTGCCACGTTTTTATTTTTTCGTTCACTTCATAGACAATCTTGCCCCGTTCATCCATAATGACTTGTGTTGTTCTTTTTTTATGTCTGCCTGTGACTTCTTTGTTTTTTTTTTTTTTGTACATATTGAACGCGTCATGCATACGATCAAGTTTTTCAATGTCTTCTCACTCATTCATCTTTCCTTAGCTTCTCTAATTTTTTGTTTATTGGCACTATGAATTTGTCGTTTTTACTTTCCGTCTACCATTAATCAACTGATTTCGTTGGCCATCCACTGCTTCTTCTTTTGTTGATTTTTAGCAGTAGTCAGTCAGTCAGACTTTCCAGAGTTTGAAGAATGTCTACAGAAAGAACAGTCAAAAAACCTACCTAGTCGTTTAGTCAAATTCAAAACTTATGAAGAACTCGGAATATTTTTTTAAATTTATTTTAATAATTGATCAATCTCTACAAATAATTTATTTGTAACGCCCTTTGGTAACTAAGATATTATTATTTGGGCGTATTCAAAAGTGCATTTTTAATAACATAATTTGAGAAATTATATAATTTCTACATGGAAATTATGTTGGACTGGGCGAATGCAATTATGTAGTAATAAATAATTTATTTTTTATAATGTATGCAGAGAATAATATTTTGTCCTAATAAGCATTTCTGTTTGCACTAGTAACAATGTCATTTTGGGTAAGTAACTTTATTAATGGAAAAAATTATTATTTTAACAATAATAATTGTTTCAGGTATTACCATTGGAAAACGATTTTCTAGGCCTCTGCCTGCCTTTGGCCTTTTGGTTCGCAATGTTGCCCAACATTTCGGAAAATAAAAGTCGCCATTATAAGATAACTCATAACGTTCACACTTTTTTTATTTACTTAGTGGCCCTCTGTTGTGTTTTGGCCGAAGTGATCAAGCTCTATCAAATTGTAACCGACGATTATTTCATTTACGATGAATTGATTAGGAATTTAGTAATGACCACTTTCCATATTACGACGATGTTAAAGTGTGTTTTTTTGAGAAGTACGTAATTTTTTTTATGTACGACCCAGATTTTTTTTATGTATTTGAAATGGTTTTAATTTCTCACAAAAGATTATATTTATAATTTTTGATAAATTAATTTTAAAAAGTGCCGTTTTTCAATAAAAATGAGTAACGTAATGAGCTCTCATTACATCACTGAGTTATGTAATGGGAGTTCATTACATCACTGAGTTATGTAATGAGAGTTCATTACATAACTGAGTGATGTAATGAAAGCTCATTACATAACTGAGTGATGTTATGAGCTCATTACATCACTAAGCACGATAGTGCAACTTATTACATGACTCAAACAGGCTTAAATGAGTTACGTAATAAGCTCTTACAGTGTAGGTCGTACATAAAATGTTGTATATCACACGTACGGTAACGCTCATTACACCACTCGTGTGATTACCACGATTCGGTCTACGACCTCGTCTTGGCAATATTCCCCACCCGCTACTGTAATGAACCGTACTAGTAATATAAATAACTATTTTTTTTTTTAAACCTAATTTTCTGTCAATTTTTTATCTAGGTAGAACCAGTGCAAAGCTTTTTAAAGCGATTATAAACTATGAAAAAATGGTATACGATAGTGCAAACGATAAAATCATTTCTATTTATCGAGAACTTTTGACCAACATGCAGAAGACCAGGAATTATTATTTTATGGTCTTTCTAACTAACGTTGTATTCTACATTGCCGCGCCCAAATTTAGAGGTAAATAAAAAGCAAACAATTGATTATTACATAATTAATCGAAGTATAATCGTTTTATTAAAAGAGCATTATGATACATTTTTGGAAATATTGAAAAAATATGTATGTTGATCCTGTTTTTAAAAAAAAACCTACTCTTTACTTTCGAACAGTTGACGAAATTTTAAATTTTGTAAAATAAAACCCAGTTGTTTTATTAAAATTTGTATTAGTTCAGCTCATAATAAATGTAACTGTTATTTTAATTTCTTATATTTTATTCAATTTTTTTCCATAATTTAAGCGGCTATGAGAGTCATTTATTCATTTATTTGAAATTATCTATGTTAATAAACAAAATTCAATTTTTCATGAAAATTTGAGTTTTTCAATGAAATTTGATTAAAACAGTGACGTGCGCTAATCTTTCCTCTTATCAATTTTCAAAAAAAAAAATAAAAAATCCAACTACATACAATAAAATTGCTAGGCAAAAGAAAACAATTATTTCCTTATTTTATAATCAAATATTGATAAAAAAAATTCTTGTAGATCCCTATTATATTACAAGAAATAATGTAACTGCTATTGTCCAACAAATGCCGATATCTTCATGGACACCGATCGAAAACAACTATTGGTTTTCTTTTATTTGGACTTCAGGAGTTGGGTTCTACTTGGTAATATTTTTCCTGACGACGGATTTAACAATAAACAGGTAGAGAAGTCATAATTATTATTCAATTCTATCGTTTTTTACTTCATTTCTTATTTCCAGTTTTATCATGTTTGGTGTGTGCCAAATAAAAATCCTTAAACATTTCATTTCCGATTTTCATTATTATGCCAACGATATAAAACAAAAACGTAGTTGTACTAAAGAAGAATCATTTAGGATGTTGCAAAAAGAATTGATTATAATGCACCAAGAAATTCTAAGGTATGTAATAAGTAAATGAATATGTTTTTACTTAAATGCATTTTAAATGAAATTTGTAGCTCTATTAGGGATCTCAATAAGACCCTAAAAAAAGTAATGCTGATAGATTTCGTACCAAGCTCATTACAACTAGCTGGAGTATTATTTCAAACGATGGTATGTACTGTTTGTTTCACGAGGGTTTATACTTTTGCCTTCCTTTTTTAACAAATTAATGACGTTCGTTAGTTCTTGGAACCAAAGGCCATTCAATTGAAATGGAATCGAGATTAAATTAAGAAATTTTGTCACAGTGAAAGAAACTAATCTAAATCACTAAATAAAACTAAGATTTCTCTTTTTCCACTTACAAATTTTCATTTTCATGCTCTTATTTTTAATCAGTTATTGTCTGAAGTGTCTTAAATTTTTTCTGATGACTTTTAAGTTGTCTTTATTAATAATTGTGTAGTGTTTTGCCCTTATCTAATCACAGAATGTAATATGAAATTTATCGGATTTAAATATTATATTCCTATACATATAATGGTCCTCAAATAAAGGTAATTTCATTATATTATCTGGAACTTCTGCTAAAAGCCCAAACATGTGAATTGTACCTATTTGTCATCATTGTATAAAAGTAAAGCCTACTTAACATTTGTTCACCGTAAACCCTAAAATTCTCAATTAGGTACCTATCCTTGATGGTCATTCTTTGACGTATATATTTTGCGGATATTTATTTAGGGGTGTCTAGATATAATGATAAATAACAAAGAGTATTTTAAAAAGAAGTTACACGGTATTGTTATCATAACACCATTTGTTTTTTTGATTTATATTAATTGATTGTTAAAATAAAATCTAAATACTTAGAGACTCAACAAATAGTAGTAAATGGCTTAAGCAATGAATCTGTTTACATAATCACATATTTCAGGCAAACCTGAGCGTTATCCAATGTATACTAGTGGGTCAGTTCATCGTTACTCTCTGCGCTAGAATTTTCATTTACTGCAACAATGCTCAAAATTTGGCGGTTCAAAGTGAAAGCGTCGCATCTACTTGGTATGATATCGACTGGACCGAGTTACCTCATGATGTAAGAAAAAATATCGTTTTCTGTATGAGCGTAGCTCAAAAACCGCTATATATAACTGTCGGAGATATGGGGAATATAACTTTAGAAACTTTTTTGTCGGTAAGTAATCATTAGTATAATTCTTATTTGCTTTGTCAATCGATAACAAAAGTTTGAATGAATTGACTGGTAACATAAACTAGATTTTATTTTGAACCATATATGTAATTATCACATTCCTTACTGGTTTGAAGGTTCGAAAATATCACTTTACTTTTGTTTGCGTTAAAGCAGGCCTAAAGTGACTGTTCTCCTGTCACTTTCGGCCTGGAGAACGCACTTTCGGCCCTGATAAATTGTTCTTTCACACCTAAACACAAATCCAGGTGCAATGTTTGTATTTAAAAGTACATGTCACATGTGTTTATATTGTTGAAATTTCATAAGATGTCAATGTCAGTGTCAGACTGTCAGTCGAAATTCCATTTTTGTCATATTTTTACCTATTTTTTTTCAATAATTAATGGTTCAAAATAAAATAGTATACATAATTCGGTGGAAAGTTTTCACATTATTGTCTCGAGAATTGGTTGACCTCGGCGTTTCGCACCTCGGTCAACCATAGTATCTCTCGACAATAATGAAACACTTTCCACCTCCGCATGTAATATACTATTCCTTACCTAATAGTAAATAATTTGAAGATAGTAGCAGTTTGTTTATACGATAATATTTTATTTTCTGTTTCAGATTATAAAAGGAGCCTACTCCTATATGATGCTATTGAACACAATTTAAGATTCACGTTCACTGAAAATCTTTAACTCACTCGATTTATAAAGCAAAATAAAACTACTCTTAACATTATTTGAGCACCTTGGTAGAATTTACTCTTATGTACTTATTACGACACCTAAACAAATTATATTATATGTTTTTCTAAGTAAATAAATTACCTACGTTTATCAATACACTTATAAGGGTTGAAGTCAGGATGCAGCAACAAAATATAAAACCAAAAACTAATTAAACAGTCTAAGAATCAAACCAACATCTTTAGATGTTTCTGATTGGGCTTAGAAAGATAATGACTCAAAAGTCGCTTTTCATAATATTATATATCACAATATATTTATATTTTCACACACTTGAGAAAATATAATGCTTATTTGTGAAACTTTCAAAAATGAGACTCTTTTGGAACGGAACAATCCAACTAAATAATGCAATTTTGATCGACACCAGGTTTCAGATCAAGTTAACTGAGTCTCTGATATTGGTTTATCCTGGGATGTTTGTTCTGGTAAGTTACTCTTGAGTTATTTCCTTCAGTTTAACTTCATATCCTAGGTTTTTATTTCTTTTAGGCCCGGTATATTCATCTTCTGATAAATTCTCAGATAAGCAATCTGACGGATAAAAACTCAATCTGTGACTCCATTGGTTGGCCAGTTAGGTTGACCAATAGGATTATAGGTCGGTGAATTTATCTTGCAAATAGTTATCAGCTTGTTCATCTGGAGATGAATAAACCGGACCTTTAGACTAAGTTCCTTAAAATAATTATAACTTGCACTTGTTCCTTTCTAACACTTTCTTTGGCACGCCATTGTACTTCTTCATAATTTTTCGCTGTGATAAGTAAATTATCAAATCCAAAGAGATGGCCGGAAGCTAAAAATAGATTTCCTACTCTCAAATAATAAGCACACTTGTGACATCGCGAGGTTCCAGAACCTGAAGATGAACTCATGAATTATAAATTAAAAGCAAGTGTTGGAACTTGTAACATTACTTGCGACCCACCCTTCGGTGACACCAGTTTTTGGTGTCTGTCTAGAAAGTGTCATTGGTGCAAGATTCAAATAAACTATAAATATAAAATATCATCTTTCAATTATTACTGAAAGGACATAACATGGCGCAGTCGAGGTAGTTAATTATTGTTGAGAAAAATGGAATTTAAAACCCTATCTAATGTACCATTAAGGAAATTTAAGTGAAAATCGGCGTAAGTTTAAACAAAATTTCGAAATCTACTTGAAAGTGTCTGGTAAGTCTGGAAAGGATGATGAAACAAACATTGCCATTCTAGTAAATTTAATTGGTGAAGCATGCGTGGAAATGTACAAAACTTTCACGTTATCGGAAATAAAAGCAAATCTTTTCGAAGTGTACTGAGAGCTTTTGAAGATCAGTGTAGTCCCAGGAAAATATAGTTCTCAAGCGTTTCAAATTTTATGGTAGGAATCAACAAGAAAGTGAAGGATTTGACCAGTTTTCAACAGACTTCAAGAAATTATCACAATCCTGTTAATTTTGTGCTTAGGGTGATGAGATGGTTCGTGATAGAATTGTCTTAGGAATTCATGACAAGGTTATTTAGGAAAAGTTACTACGTGTGGAAGGTCTTGACTTGTTTGAGGCTGTTTCATGCCGAGCTGATTAAATTTCTAAATCTCAGGCTAGAAATATACAAGGAATCTATCTCTGCTGAAGTGGAGTTTGTTAAGAAAAGGCCAGTGTTGCCAACCGCTGGGTAATTACCCAATTTTTGGGTATTTTTTTCCTCAAAATCCTTACTTGAGTAATTGGGTAGAAAAAAAGTTTTAAAGGTCATATTTGGGTAATTTGATGTGATACAACATTAATCATCAAACTTTGCCATTCGTCCATGCCATGACGTCATGCGTTTTACACATTGAACTCAACCAACCAATCTGAAAAACATGAGCGGCCCAACAAACTCTGACTGAACGAACACGAGTCACGAACGCACCCAAACAGGTTGACAGTGTTGACACCGAAAAAATTTTAGCCTCTATAAAGCCTAGTACTCATAATCGCAAAATTCGCACTTCTTTGACATTGCTTCGACAATTTGACGTTTGATTCACGCCCAAAACGTCAAATTGTCGAAGCAGTGTCAAAAAAGAGCGAATTTCGCAAAGCCTAGTACTGATAACCGCGAAATTCGCTGTTTTTTGACATTGCTTCAATTTGACGTCTTATGCGTGAATCAAAGGTCAATTTCAAATAAAACCGAATTTCGCGATTATGAATACAAGGCTTTTAAGCAAGCTTACTTCTCACTTGCACGAAATTCGCTCTTTTTTGACATTTCTCCGACAATTTGACGTTTGATACACGAATAAAACGTCAAATTGTCGAAGCAATGTCAAAAAAATAGCGAATTTCGCGCAAAAAGAGCGAATTTAGCGCAAGTGGGAATTAAGCTTTAGACTATCCAAGATGCTAAACTAAAATGTTCGCCAAGTGGCACACAAATCCTTTGTTTGCTTGTCAAAATCACGTGTTTTGGATAGGCTAATACCATAGAGTAAAATACTTATTTCTCATATGAGTATTTTGGGTATTTTTATTTTGCAAATTGAGTACTTCAATTCCAAAAGGTTGGCAACACTGGAAATATAATAGGTCTGTTTCTGCAGAAATCCCAAACCAATCAGAGTGAATTTCATTGGTTGAAACTAGTTTTCTGACTGTTTTCAACCAATGAAATTCGCTCTGAAAATTAGCTCCAAATTCTAGTGGTGCAGATAAAAGTTTTGAAATCTGGGGAAAAATTCAAATGTAGAAGATCCCAAACTTTGCATGGAGTTCGTGAATGTGCTGCCTTTGGGAAAAAGTGTAGTTAATGCAAGCAATTTAATCATTTTGCAGTTCCAAGACACGTAATAAATGTAAAAGTGTTACAAGAGTAGGAGGAGGACTCTGATGAGGCTGAGTTCGCAATCAATATTATTGGAATAAAAAACCAGACTAATAAAATATTATCAATTAACTTATGGTTTCATAATGTGACTATTGGTAATCATCGTATCGTGCTTTTTAAATTTAAATTAAACACTGGTGCAGATGTAATAAATGTATTGTCACGTAAAATGTTGAGTGAAGTTGGCGTTCCAAGATACAAAAATAATTTTAGAGGTATTTGGTGGAAGTGTAGTGACGCCTGTAGTAGTTTCGCTGGAAGTGCAATCTAAAAACGTTGAATTTTTGGCTGATTTTATAATTGCGGATAAAGCTCTTTCTTTATCCTTTACTGGGTCTTGAATCTTGTGGAAAATTAAATCTCGTTGTTCTACACAAGGAAAATATCGATTATCTGAATAAGTTTAATACTGAGGATGAATTTGTCAATAGTTACTCTGAATTATTTGAAGATCTTGGTAAGGAAAAATTGTTTTTTACAGTCTTGACTCGAAAGAAGGATTCTGGCATGTAGCTTACTGAAAAATCTAGTAATTTTTGTACTTTTGCCACACACTTTGGCTGTTATAAATTTAATCGATTGCCTTTCGGGCTCAACATGGCGCCAGAGTATTTTCAAACCATAAATAAAAAAAAAATTGAGAACTTAAGGTTGTGCAACTGTACAGGGTGATCTATTATAAATGTCACCCCCTTCTAACTTTTTCATTTGACATTTTTGACAAAAGTGTCAAATACAAAAATTTCAATAAATTGTCGAAAGTTTTTAACTAAGTCAATTTTAGACATACAGGGTGTGTCAAAAAAGTGTAGCAGTGTGAAGTTATATTTTTTTAAATGGAACACAAGCAAAATTGAACTTCGTTGACCAGTCAGAAACAATTACGCCGAGGGCAAATACCCCTACCGGCGTTGAACTACACTGATTGGTCTGAGCTTTCGTTCGACAGGGAGCTTCAGCCTATGTCCTTCTGATGAGTCCTAACAAGGACGAAACGCGTCAAGGATTGGCACGGGAAGTCTGGATCCACTGCTCAGTGGGTCGATTCCCAAACAGGGACCGTTGTGTTCCTGTATTCACGTTGGTCATTTCCTGAAAAAAATCTTTCTAACAATGTAACTGTTATGTTTGTGAGTGTTACCAAATTTCTAATAAAACGATGTGTTGATGCCTCATGAGATAGGTACCAAATGAAATGTACCCTTTCATAAGATAGCTTGTGACAGAATGGATTATGCTGGAAATAGCTATCTCATAGTACAAGAATATTTCTCTAAATGGCTCGAAATAATTTTCTAAAAAAACAAAATTTCATCTCAAAGTTTTGTTTGTAGCGTTTGGTATTCCAAAAACTGTTGTTTGTGATAATATGCCATTTTTATCTTATGAATGTAAGAATTTCTTCAAAGATTGGAATTTTAAATTTTGCACTAGTTCTAAATATTCTCACAGTAATGGTCAAGCCGAACGAGCAGTTCAAACAGCTAAACTGATGTTTAAAAAATGTTCGCATGATAATACTGATATTTACCTAGCACTGCTGGAGTTTAAGAACACTCCTTTTTCTGGTATTGGTATTTCTCCAACCCAAATGTTGATGAATAGACTTACTAAAAATATAGTAAACAGTTGGTAAATATCGATCTAAAGTTGAAGTAACGAACATAGGAAAATCATTAAATCGGAGTGAGAAAATACTTGAATCTTGAAATTAATCCTTTTCCTTGGAAACAAAACAGTCGGCAATCGAAGCCATTACAACGAATATTTAAAATGAGGCTCAACAAGTGTGTATCAATGGTAAGTACCTAGCATCATGCACTTTTTAACTGATGTAAACATCTTTCTAATGCACCAATAATTGAGTGCGCAAATAAAAGTGCTTCAGGTGCTCATCCCAGTTTAATTTATTTGACGTAATAAGCATAAGTCTAAGGTATTTGTAACGAGTCACCTCTGTAATGATCTTTAATTTGAGGGAAAACATAAAGACTGTTTATAGGTGATTTTTTCAATTTTTATTCTGTAATACTGAATTAATTATAGTGCACTGTTGGTAATACAACAGTAATATATAAATGTGAAAAAAAAAGACATAAAACCAATTAATATAAAAGAATGCATTATTATTACATATCCTTAAATTCGCCACTACTGTTTAACAATAAAATATTCGGATTCTCCTTTTCAAATTCGCTTGGTTCCCTTTCTCGGTCCTCTTTGCCCCATTCGCCCACGCAACTCATCACATTCGGTTGCTTTTCCTTTTCGTTTTCCTCCCTCTTTTGTAAAAGAAGACATGAAAAATTATAAATTTTGCATACACTTGGATAATAAAAATGTATATTATTTTATACGAATATATTTTCTGTAATATGGCAAAAAGTATTCAATTTTGTATTGTATTTAATAGTTTTTTGTGCCCGAACCAAACTTATGTGAAAAAAAAATACCACAAATAAAATCTAGAAATCAGATATATTTTCCTAAAAGTTGATTTCATCAATTAATTGTAGCATTTACGGACTTCTTTCTCCTTTCAGTATATGGTTATCTCTTAGTAAGAATTTTCAACAATAATACAATTAGTATAACCGTATAATGTATATCTATACAACGAAAGCTGGGATTCGAAAAGCTACCTTTATATGGTTATAAGATATACATAGTGATTTTTGTTGCACGTTTATAATTTAATTTTTGGTACCAAAAATGCACTGAATTATTTAGATTTTTCTTTTCTGATCCATGAGATAAGTCAGACTTGCTATTTTATAAACGAATACTTTTAAGTTATATTAAACATCAAAAAAGTCTAAGGATTCAGTTCTTGGCCTAAAATTAGTCGCAGAAAAGTTTCGTGTTAAAATTACTTAAAAAAAAAAACAAAGAAGTTTATTAAGAAAAAGATTGTGAAAAAAATTATCCATTATTTATTATTCACCTGCGTATCCATTTTAGCAAATTTATCAAACATATTGGCGTAAATCTTTTTTTCTTTCTCCAGCTGTTCCTTCATCACATGGCTGCACAGAGATTGTTGCGCTCGAGCAGCCGAATTGTTCGGATCCAGTTTCAGACATTCGCCGAAATCTTTGGCCGCCAATCGGGGCTCGCCCAGGCCATTCAGCGCTTGGCCGCGTCTGAATAGGGCCTTTTCATTGGCGGGATCGATTTCCAAAGCTTTGGTCGCCGAGGCTTTGGCTTGAAAATTGTCGTTGAGTTTTAGGTAGCACAGGGCGATGTTCAGGTGGGCGGCTAAAAGAAGGGAACGTCTTTCGTCTCCAGAATCTGTAATAAAAAAAAAACAATTTTACTTATAAACATGATTTCAATGTACGATTGTCTAATCTTGAAAAGCAGCCAAAATTAGCTATAAACAATATATAGGAATTATTTCAAAATTAATAAAACAGACCAGTTTGGAGTTTAGAACTATTAACCTGCTTTGAAGCAACCATTTTTATACAAAAAAATATTACATTATTGTTATTAATTAACTAACAAGTTTGAAAATACTAACCAAATTGCAGCAATCTTACTGTGAATATACTTAGTGACAACAAGGTAACCTTAGTCAAAAGGGGCCTTATTATTAAAATAAAAATTACTAAGAAGTCCCATATCAAAAGAGAATCATTTTTCATGGTCCATCGAGCAAAAAGTTGAATAGAAGAAAAGGATAACTGCCTCGAAAAAAGGGATTTACAGTGAAATTAACAGCAAACGGTCCAATCAGCCACCCACAATAACAGCCCAATCAAGGACACACCGACGGATCATGTGCAACAGCCAATGCCGTCCATCCACAACTTCAAAAAAACTTCAATCCAACTCCATCTCTAATTCACAGTGAGCAGGCAAACCCCCATCGTTAATCGATCAGTCATCGCCGCCCAAAAACAAGTAAACTTCAACTCCAGCCTCATAGTCTATTGGAAACGAACCACTTCTTTAGATCATCCATCTTTGCATTCATGCTTACTCTCGATTCTTCCAGATTTAGCCCTTTCTGAATGACTGACGTATCATCAGCAAACAGTAAAAACTTTGTATCTGGTGATGCGTTACTTATATCATTTATATATATGAGAAAGAGTAGTGGCCCCAAAATTGAACCCTGGGGTACACCAAGATGAGAAAGACAATTTCCCACTAGCATCTAGAATTACTAAACAGAATTTCTACGTCGACGATCTGCTCTCCGAGGCAGATACGCTTGAAGAAGCCATCAATCTTCAGACAGAACTCATAGGCATGCTCAAAGCTGGAAGATTCATCCTACGCAAATGGTCCAGCAACCATATACAAATCCTCAACTCTCTTGATGAAGAACTGCGAGAACAATCCTTACTGAAGACGGCACACGAAAATCATTGGGAATCCATTGAGCAACATATGATGACACTTTCAGATTCAAAACGCAAGTCAACATAGAACAGAAAAGTTACCAAACGCATTATTCTCTCCGAAGTTGCGAAGCTGTTTGATCCGTTAGGATGGTTAGCTCCAGTAGTCATAAAGGCAAAGCTCTTAATCCAAGACCTATGGTTACAAAATTTAAAATGGGATAACTCGATTCCGGCCAACATCCAGACAAAATAGAGGTCATTCCAGGATGAACTAAAGGCCGTGGAAGACATTTTGCTACCCCGGTGGACCAACCAAATGACAAACAGTCAGAAGGAATTACAGGAATTCTGCGACGCCTCTGAAAGAGCGTACGGCGCTGTAATCTATCTCAAAGTTAACAGCAAGGAAAGACCACAAAAAATATCACTTCTCACATGAAAACATCCTGTCAACAGCAGAAGCAAAATCATCAACCTCAACCCAGTATTAGACCACAAGGGTATGCTGAGAGTGGGCGGATGATTACCTACCATGCGAAACCAAACATCCGAAGATCATACTTTACAAAAGCCATCTCACTAAGCTCATAATTCTCGACGCTCACAATCAAACCTTACCTAGAGGAAACCAGCTTACACTGGCATATACAAGAAGACAATTTTAGATAATAAATGCCAAAAAAACTTTTAAAATCAGTTATTGGAAAATGTATAAAATGCATTAGGTTTGAGGCAACTACTTTGGACCAGCTCATGGGAAATTTGCCGACAGTAAGAGTATCACCTCGAGTATCACCATCTCATCCTTTCGAGCATGCAGGCTTAGACTATGCCGAGCCACTGCAAATTCAGACAACTGAAGGAAGAGGACACAAGGCATACAAGGGATACATCGCCATTTTTGTATGTTTTGCAACCAAGGCAGTCCATCTAGAAATCGACATGTCATCCGACACCTTTTTGGCTGCCTTCCGACCCTTCATCTCACGAAGACGAGGCTGTGCACATCTCTATAGTGACAACAGCACCAATTTCGTCGGTGCTACCAGAATCCTTCAAAAGGAAATAGTCGCGACCATCCAGAACTACAATGTTCAAGACGAGCCATCATCAGTGGGAACACAGTGGCATTTCATCTCCCAGGGTCCTTATTCTTGAAACAGGGGAGCAGCGTTCCCGGGAGAACGAGTGTCCCGTCTTTCTCAATGATATGCGAATGATAATATGAGTAACAAAGACGGAATACTCATTCTCTTGGGAAAGCTGCTCCCCTGTTTCAAGAATAAGGACCCAGGAGCACCACAATGGGCGGGATATGGGAGGCGGCAGTCAAATCTATGAAATACCGACTACGAAGAGTTGCTGGAGAGACCCGTTTGACATACGAGGAAATGACAACATTCATGCACCAGATCGAAGGCTGCTTGAATTCTCGACCACTGTATGCAATGACAAATGATCCGAGTGATCTAGGTGTGCTAAATCCCGGTCACTTTCTAATTAGGAGGTCTATAGTAGAACCTCCGGATCCAGTCTTCACAGCCATTACATCAGGTCTTACCAAGAGATGGAGGTTGGCACAGAAGATTAAAAGAGATTTCGGGAAAAAATGGACGTCCGACTACATACATCAGCTACAGCAGCGTTACAAATGACAAAATCAACAGATAAACCCGCGAGCAAATGGCCCCTCGGTAGAATAACGGAAATCCACCCATCACAAGAAGATAACATGGTGCGAGTGGTCACTCTAAAACAGGCAGAAGGAGGCCCAACAAACCGGCCCATACATAACCTAATTCCTATTCTAACAGAAAAGGCTAACTTGGAAGTAATGAGACTCGAACGAAGCCAACTATCTCATTCGAAGAATTATAGGAAGACTTGGAAAATAGCAATTTCGGAACTATATGTTCGCCTTGAGAAATACTTCAGTCCAGAAATACGTAATTATCCTCCTCCAGGCCTGTATGTAGAGCTCATTGGACACGCAAAGATAAATGGGTGACCTTTAGAAGAATGGAACTTCCATTCAACAAGTCTAGGATATTAAATGACACCGTTAACGTACATTCTTCAATTCAGCAAGTTTCGTCTCTTTGTTAGAGGGCCAGAGAATTAGCATCTAACACGGAATGTTTATCGCTAATTAACCACCATTAAGAGAAACAGCGAACAGAGGGATGCAGAACGTGATCACCGATCGTAATTAGCGAGGACTTATGGAAAAATTACTCACATAGGTATTTGGAGTCAACGATGAAGTATACGCAGTCATTAAATAATTAGACGAAAAGAACCCATCAAGACCTCTAATAACCAAGCAAAGTTTATGCTACATATTCTGGCTACATTTAACCAGACAGAGATACGAATCAGCAATCAGCTAAAAAGATTCAGGAAGAAACTCAATGGAGGCATTAAAGCAATAAATGACATGCAGAACTGGTACAGCCGAGTTGACGAAAACAAACTAAACATTAATTTATTGAGTGCGTATCAAGTGGTAAATTACATAGATGAAGCCAATCCTCCAGACCAAAGTTCAGCACAGCAAGGACTTCATCCACATCTTTGGAGACTTCATCATTACAAAAACTTAACAAATTTTTGCTCATCAAGGCAACAAATCCCAACAAAAGAAACCTACTGGATACTCCATGTGCCAAACGAATTAATCATTGCAGTAGACTACAATTCACAATTATACTTCCAGCTCAGTGAAGCTAAGCTGAGAAATTGCATCAGCATCAGACAAGATGCATTCATCTGCTCACTGACTACGACTGGAAACATTGAAGCCACTTCCAACTGCATCATCGATGAAGTCTATCAGTGATGGCAAAATACGTCGTGTACACTGCGAAGGAAGACTTTGATATCTAGTATCATATGGAAACATTTGAATACACCCAATGCTTGGATGCGATGGCATTCGTGAAGATGTGACACAGGGATTTTGATTATATCTCAGAACTGCATGGTGAAGACCAATAAAAACATTTTTATTTCAAAAAGAGCAGAATCAGTCACTGTTTTGGCATCCATGACACAACCGATCAACCGAAACACAATATAGGGCACCACATTCTAGGAAGAACCAGAAGCCTCAGCATCTCTAGATAAAATCAAAGAGGAAGAGTCAGATATTCAAGAGCAACTACAAGAAACTCCTTGGGCTTCCATACACCACCGAGCAGTATTCAGCACTTTTTTAGCACTCTTGGGATATCTCGGGTATCGCAAACATAAGCCAAAACCAAAACATCAAGAAGACCACTTCAACGGAATGCCTTTGGAACCTCTTCGAAATTTCACCAGCAACCACAAAACTGACACCGATGCCAGCTGACCAACATTGCGGGCGGCCAGAACGTCTAATTTTGAAAAGTAGCCAGAATAGGCCATAAAAAACTTAGTACCAGTTTTTGATCAATATAATATATTATATGATACATATTATATAAATGAAGCTTTTCCACAATACAATAATACAGCTCACATTATCACAGCACTAGCGATAAACATCTAATCAAAATTGAGAATTAGAGTTCGTAATAATAATTCTAGGAAGATTAATTCAAAAGCCTCACTTACCGGAATCACTCTCTAAAAAGGACAAAATCTTCTTATAACTCTTCACAGCAAGATCATATTTGCACTTCTTAAAGTACCCAGTGCCTTTTTCCTTAAACACTTGACAAGCCTCTATTTTCTCTTGACTATCCATCGCCCAACTTTCCTTCTCCTTTTCGAAACTGTTCAACGTCACCACATATTCTACTACTGCGCTGGCTGGTATATTGAATTCAGTAGAGCCAGTTTGGCCGAAAGCATATTTCGGTTGAATAATCAGTCGAGAAGATTCAGAAGTTTTGAAATGTTGCAGAGCGATTTCAATGCCTTCGATTACGTTTTGGTCAGAGCCTTCGCCAAGGTTAAAAGTGACGGTTCTTTTGTCGAAAACGTTGCCATTGTATGTTCCAATCAGATGAGCTAGAATTAATAATCATTATTTGCAACATACATAATTTTTAATTTAATGATAAACTTACCAGTTACGAGAGCGCCGTCATTAGGTGTTGAAAAGCCAGTGCCGGAAACTAAAATTTCGGCTCTTTCTATACCACCGTCTTGAAGCAGGCTCAAGTCTTCTCCTCTCCAATCTAGAACTTCAACCTGGAAATATTATAAATAAGAAATTTATTTTTTGTACCACAATATTTAAAGTACTTGAGTACCTAAAACCGTTGACTGTACTTTTTTGATACAATTGGAAAGTTTATATGCTAGAGAGTTTTACTGACTCTATTATTGTGTGATGAGAACTATTTAGTATATGATTTGCTTTGTCAATAAAAACTTTAAAATTTAAATTTTCTGGACAACAAAACCTAATTGAGTACGAGTATAAATATTCAATATGAAAACATCCTAATATCAGTCATGTCAATCTGAAAAACTTACATCAAATTTCAAAGTAGAATTAGGTGGAATTTTTGGAGGGCTTCCTGACTCGCCGTAAGCGTACTCTGAGGCGCAAGTCAATATAGCTCTTTCTCCCTTTTTCATTGTCGCCACTCCAATGTCCCATCCTTTTATTACATTTCCTTTAAAAAAAAAACATATTCATTTAAACATGGAATTTGCTAAAAATTGGAATATTTATGTTTTTCTTCAATGAAAAAAAATAGTAATTTTATTTTCTTCATCAAAATATCCCAGTAATCATTGAGCAAATAGTTTTGTTAATCTCTCACCTTTTCCCAAATTAAACTGAAAAGGATCATTTCGACCCCTGCTAGAGTCGAATTCCGTTCCATCCAAAAGTGTTCCGGTGTAATGGACCTTAACTTTGCATCCTGGTGGTGGTAAAGCGGTTCCGGTGCCTTCGTTTAGGATTTGCTTCAGTACGCCGCCATCGTTATTCGGAGAAATGTCAATCTCTGCCATTTTTTAATTTGAGAGGAATCTACTGAAATAAAAAATAATAATAATAATAGTCTCCGGTTACAGTAAACCATAAACCATCTAAAGAAAATACAGGTAAATCCACCTTGGGAAAGAGTTGCACAAGCAAGTATCTACAAATAATCTGTCATCAGCTTCTTTGAACTCAGAGGAGCAAAGGATATAAAGGGCAAAAAAGAAAAAAGTTCGATTTATAAAATCCATTATATCTTGTTTACTTATTATAATAAATACAATCAAGAAATTTCCAGGGTAGGTGTAGGACGTAATTTAAGTCTAAAATCCCAAAGGAGGGACTAGTTTAGGCATATATACCCAAAAAAAAATTTCTACAATGGTAAATAAGTTTTTTACAGGCATTTGAAACTCGCGATATTCAAAATCATTTAAAACGCGCCGATTCGCTGACGTCACATAAATATTTTCCATTTCGCTCATGTTGTTGCAAGAAGCTGACCGGCTCGGCTGTGTTGCGCTCTGTAAAAGCAGAGCAAGGTTCGAATGCGCTGTTGTCGGTTGTGACTGAATGTAGTGCAACGTGAAAAAAATAAAATAAAACTAAATATAAAAAATTGTATTAAATTGAAATTGTGTTTAAGTAGAATTTCAAAAAAAAATGTTATAAAATCTTGAATCCATAACTAATTAATTCAACTACTTTTCATGATCTTTTGCGAACATTTCAGATTTAAATCTATTACAAATTTTCAATTAGTGGCAACACGGTCAAATTGCGAGCTGCAAAGTCATAGAAATAAATTCTGGATTTTTATTTGGAGGTATTTCTTATTTTTCTGTTTTCTCAAGAAGGACTATGAATTTTTCAAAAGTAAAAATACAGAAAATTCTGTTTTTAGTTGCTTTATCCAAATATGGCAATTTCAAAAATTAGTGAAAGAGCCCATTATAATTTTTGAATTATTTATTAATAATAGTCTGACCAGGAATTTTTCAGCCAACCCACACGTGATATTTTTTTATGACACTAACTTTGATATAATAGTTATTTATGATATAAGTGTTAAAAGTACATTTTTAAGGCAGGCATGTGAAAGTTTGCAGAATGAGCGAAGCGAATTCTGCAATTCACATAAGTGCCTTAAAAATACTTTTAACACAAATATCATACAATATTTTTTCTACAAACGGCATTAACCAGTAACAAATTGAATTTTTAGAATGAATAATTGATTGGGAGCATCTTTCCTACATAATATTATTGAATTTGACATTTGTCAAAAAATCGAAACAACCAGCACCTTGTTTTACAGGTAATGAAATGTCTTGTCAGTTTCTTGAAAGTCTGTCCTGTGTCTGTCGTGGTCAGTAATGCTTTTTGCTAAAAATGCAACAAAATACAGAAGAAAAAGAGGATTGCATCGATCCCTTGAAAAATATAGATGAGGCGGCCAATCAGGCTACCTCATTTGTTCAAATTTCACCATGAATATCAATGTAAATAACTAAAAATACAAACTTTTTTTGACGTTCGCTCTCAAAATTTGATGTTCCATTTTTAACACTAGTGCTATAAAGACTTTATGGCACTAGTGCGATAAAGTAACATTTTTAATGCTACGGGAGGGTGTTAAAAATTGCATTTTTAACACGTTTGTAGAAAAAATAGTTTTCACCCATTAAACAGATGGGTGCAGATCCTTTCCTATTCGGATCCTCCACTATTAGTACCTACCGGTTTGTTAGCTGCTGATGATACTGAAAATTTGACTGCACATTTGATTTTTTTGGGATGTAGAAGTTAAATTCCCTAAATACTGCTCCCAGAGGCCAGAAATTGTCATGAATTATATTGTTAAAATACCTATCTTTTTTACCTATCCTAAAAAATTTCATTCTGCTATCAGATCTTATTTCTTTAGCAACTACTTCAGACTCATAGCACCCAGGTTGCTGCATATATACTGCTAAATATCTTTGTTAAAGGATTCTGCAGCGATTCTACCCAGGTATATCCATTTTTTAGTTGGGAACGGTACAGTTTTGAGCTGATTTGTAATGTTAGTCACTAATGATAAATTATGTACTAATACAGCTCCGAATCTACTAATAAAATAAGTAATAGCAAACTTTGGTAATAGTCTAAAATCAAATTGAAATATTTGCGAAATTTAATGCAAATGAGAAATCTATCCTTGTGCGATGTGGCCAGTAGCCTTTTTCACAGAACGATTTATTGTATAACTTTGGCATTACCCCAGGGAAATTAGACCAAAAAAAAGGGCCATCTGCGAAATGAGGCCGAACAAGCTGAATTTTTGCAGAGACCTTCGTTTTGATGATCTAGTGAAGCACAAAAAAAATCGAATATGCTTAGCCTTGTGCGTCTTGAAATATCGAAGGTCAAAGGTTACGAAAATCTCGCTTCCAGTGCATCTGACGTCGAAGAACTCAAAACAAAATAGTATTTTCTACAAAATTGTTTATATAAATTTTTTTGTACGACCAACCGTTTTCGAAATATAGCGTGATAAAGCAGGAGTGCATATTCAAAATAGGTGATACTGTATTATACATGCTAGGCTGTTCAAATTTCCAGGGATTATTGATCCCTGAAAATTTGAACAGCCTAGGAATAGCCCTCCAGATGATATGAAAGGGGGTTGTTTAAATTTCAACACCCTGTATTTTGGAAATGACGCACTTCCGACCATCGATATCCTATTTCAAATTACTTCTCTATGGTTCCTCTATATACCCTAGCATTTTTGACCAGTTGAACGGGGACACTCTGTATAATACAGTATCATCTATTTTGAATATGCACTCCTGCTTTATCACGAAAACGGTTGGTCGTACAAAAAAATGTATATAAACAATTTTGTAGAAAATACTATTTTGTTTTGAGCTCTTCGACGTCAGATGCACTGGAAGCGAGATTTTGGCAAAAAAAACGATTTTCGTGATCTTTGACCTTCGATATCTCAAGACGCACAAGGGTAGGCATATTCCGAAGCATATTCGATTTTTTTGTGCTTCACTAGACCATCAAAACGAAAAAAATTATATACTGGGTGTCCCAAGAACAGCTGTGCCAGTGCCCGATATCCACTTAATTTTTTTGAATAGCACTTTCCATCTATCATCACATTATTGGACTCTACGGAAAATTCTAAACATATTTGATAATGTACACAGTGATCTATTATAAATTTATAAATGTCACCCCCTTCTAACTTTTTCTTTTGACATTTTTGACAAAAATGTCAAATACAAAAATTTCAGAAATTGTCGAAAGTTTTTAAGATGGGCGTTTAAATAAAATGTTATTTACGAACCTTCACAAATTTCTGTTCAATTCCAAATTTAGACCACTTTTCAGTGAAATGCAGTTTTGCAGTCTAAATAGTAAAATTATCACCAATTTTGTTGACAACAGCATGCAAATTTTGGTCACGGATTTAAATGAAAAAGGGATAAACGCATAGAGTAGCACACCAACAATACATTTCCAAAATTTCGGATCATTAAATGCTGGAATAAATGAAAAGAACAGAACTTCTGTTAATTTATAAGTTTTTATTCCAAAATTAATCAAAATCTGCCAAACAAAAAAGTGATTGCTGTCATTTTCAGCAGAGACTCAAACCAAATGTGTGTTCAGAGCTTCTCTTGAAGAGTTCGGGAAGCTTATTAACTTCTTTCAAACGCCAGTGAAAACTGTTTCACCTAGCTAATCATGTGAAATGCTATTATTTCATCTGCATCTGAATAAAATTATTTAGTCCACTGTATATTACTGCGTAAACGAATGGATATTGAAGATGTCGCCATCTACTGTAAATAAGTCAATCACTTACAGGGAATGTGCACACCTGTGATTAAAAAATATTTAATGTATAATGTATGTCATAAAGCCCAAAAGATGGCGCGCGGGCTCATATCTGACGCCCCTCTTAACTAATTCAGTTTTAGGCATACAGGGTGCTTCAAAAAAATGCAGCAGTGTAAAGTTATATTTTTTTGAATGGAACACTCTGTACTTTGTGCGCTTATTTGTTACCTCCTTTTAACCTGATTTCAAAGATATGCCTACGGTTTGTTATTTTTATCTCTTGGTTTATGGTTTATCTTCAACAGTTATAGGGAAAAACTCAAAAAACTCTTCCTAACTCTCTCATAGTGATGTAAAATTCCCGAAACATTCAAAAGCCGCGAACATTCTCGGAAACTTTCCGGAAATATTGGAAACTTTTGGAAACTTATGGAAATATTGTTATATATGTTTCAACGATACACAGTTTGATATGTCTATCTTCAGAGTTATCGGGAAAAACATGACAAAAAAAAGAAAAACTATCATTATCACTACTATTTAAGCTTTAGAGAATTTTTTTTATAAACAGTTTATTGTTCAAATTTTATTTATTAACATACAAGGTGAAATATAATAAATCCAGATGTCTGAGTTATTATTATTATTTAAAAAAAAAATAACATGAGAGACTAGTGATGTGAGTCGAGAATATTCCCATGCGAATATTCGCGAATATTGGGAAATTTTCGAATGTAATACCACAAGAGGTTTCAGGATTACCGGATAATACTTTTACCTGCCACGAAACGCGTTACGCAGCAACACCACGACTCCGAAGGAGGAGTGGTGTTGCTGGTAACGCGTTGGGTGTCAGGTAAAAGTATTAGGTAATTCTGAAACATCGAGTGGTATTCAAAAGGTTATACAACGAAATAAACTTAAATGCTTCATTAATTTGTATTATTATTAATGACAAATGCCACCAAGCTCGATAATCCCGAAAGGCTTATCACTTGTTAAGCCTCTCGTGTCATATGGGAATAATGTACAGTGAGTTGTATAACCGAGAATATTTGCCGATAAAAAATTTCCGGAAACTTTCAATCGAAAACTCTCAAAAGAATATTTCTGAGAACTTTTGAGAATATTTCCGAGAACTTTTGAGAATATTTCCAAGAATTTTCCAGAAGAATTTTATAAAAATGCGAGATTATTGCGAATACAAGATC